CTTAAAATATACTCAGTTTTTGTAATATTAAAGTTGTAATACTAACTTTAACTTTAAATTACATAATTATATTTCTACTCCAATTCGTGTTTTGAAATATAAACATTTTAATGGTGGTTGTCACAAAAACTTCAAACATAAATTAAATATTGAAGAACAGTAAAATAATGATAATGAATGTTACATTGTGCATATTTAGCAAAATGCTCCTCTCTAGAGTTATGAGTTTATGCTCACCGAATATGTTTTTCTGTGGTAAATGGGATGTTACGTGACATTGTTTACAAGCTATTGTCGTCTTTCCACATTTGAAACACTGAGTCATTTTCTGACAGGCTAGACTAATCGGTTCTTGGGATTTATGAATCGATATCGTTTCATAAAAACGAGAATCGATTGAAATCAAGAAATCGATTTTTTTTTTTTTTTACCCAGCCCTACTCTGCATGCTTTTCAGTGTGTCTTGATTTTAAATGCTAAATTAAACTTGCCATGCTGTACGTTTTTGCAGATGTTTTGCAGACATTTTGCATCTTTCTCGGACACTTTAAAATGCTTCCACACTGCCGACATGTTTTCTGCATTTGAAGCGTGCTACGCTGGTTGCTATTTGATCGTGTAATCAAAAACATCATTGTTCGGTAAAATTTATTCAGTCTTTTCACTAATTTGGCCTAACACCAAAAGTGTTTTTTTTGTTTTGTTATTATTTTGTTGCTATTTTCAGCCAAATAATTGCGGTTGCATTCGGTGCATCCCTAATTTCTGTATTTTTAAACCAGTGGAGCAACTGATGTTCATGTGTACAATACAGAAATCGACATCCACATTAAATTAAACAACCCCTGAACATAAACTTGAAAACTTTGCAATCCTATTTTAGTTTTTAGCTCTTATTCAACTCTTTTGTTTAGTCTATATTAGACTTGTGCAGGTATTCGGTAATGCGGTATATCACGGTAATGAATATGCACGATATTGTTATCATGGGCACTTCTAAATACCGTGAATAATTATATATTACAAATTATTCAGAATTTTGAATGCATTGTAAGAATACTTTTCCCATCAACTGGTCAAAATGCACAACATGGCTGTATGCTGCGTGAAAGACGTAATAAGCACGGAGCACATGGCGGAACAGGTGAGAGACGCTCTGGATGAAAGTGCACTTTCACTCTCTGACAGCAGATGGCGCTAAACTGCAAATAATAATAATAATAATAATAATAATTAATTTAAATGCAGCTGTTACCCGGAAATCCTGTAAACAAAGCAGCTGCACTACTTTCTGTTTCTGAATCGTGTTTAAATGATTTAAACAGCCATTCAGATTTGTGTATTTGCTATGATATTCATCACAGCGCCAAATACTTAAACACTTAGACTTAACTGCGATCATTTGTTTTTTGATTTAATATTGAAAGTAGAAAAATTTGAAAACGGCTGCTTTTGCGTTTTTTTCCCGAACTAAATTTCCGATTTCTACACGTGGGCGGGAATTAAACCCCCCTTTCTGCTGATTGGTCAGCCGAAGATCAAACCTTGCCATCATCAGTTCTTCTGCAGTATCACGCAGCAGAATAATAGTCCTCCACTGCTGCAGTTGTACGGATTCTTAACGCATTTATTGCAACTACATTTAATATTTTTTCATCAAAC